TCTCTCATTGAAATCGCCCATCCAACTCACGGGATTAAAGGTTGTGTTCACTTGTTCATTCATTTCGTACACTTGTAATATAATTCACGCGTGTACTCATTCATTCATACGTCCCGGGCTTTTATCTCTTCATATTGTATTACCGCCCGGGAAGATACGAAGGGAATACTATTAGAAGAAGATAATAAAATAAAAGCACGAATAGAATGAGTGTGGTAACAACAAAAATCGGTACTTTTCCATAACTGCTCCACATAACCGGTCGATAACACATTGCGTTCGATGCCGCCAGTCGCCCCTTCCACTATGCCTTTCGAGCGCAGGCACTGATGCCTTGGCTCCATGGTCGGCAGCCGTCTGCATTCGCGGAAGTAGGAGTTGGATGAGTTGGCGAGTTCGCGTCGCGTGATGCTGCCCCCAAATCTCTGTCGGTCAAAACGTGGGCCTCCTGCCCTTCCAGCACCCGCGCCCACGCAGGGCGTTTGAACCCTCCGTAAGCAGCTCGCTCGCGAACCTGGGCCATCGGGCCTGGATGACCGGCAAGCCGTCGGCCCAGGCTGCCCAGTACTCCGGGCAGGTCCGGCAAGGCGGGGAATTCGGGGAGCGGCCGTTACTCTTCGCTGAGCCGGATCTGGGTGGCCAATTGGCGCGCCAAGCACTACGTACCCGTGCTCCTCAGGTGATTTATCCCGCGCCACACGTCTGCAGTCGGGTGGGGCTGGACCAGCTGCAGACACGCGTCTTGCCGTGGTTCCATGCGACGCCACACGTGGCTTCCACCTGACCTGCGAGGTCAGCCCGCGGGTTGATCACACGCCTGCCGGGCTAAGCTCGTGGAGCATGCGTGGGTCGGCGTCGCCCGTGAAAGCGGTGGGGCCGGACGGACAGGTCGTACCACAGCAGCACAATGGCTAGCGCCAGCGCATGCCTCTCACGCTACTGCCCCGGGAGTGGCACCGCATGATCGCCGTCGCGGGGCCCAGCATGCTGCCACTGAGGCCATAATGCCCGGCGGCTTGAGATGCACCCCGATGTGACGCTGGTTTCCCCGGATGGCCGCAGCGCTTGAAACGGTCTCGCGAGCTGCCTTCCTTAGAAAACTACACCAGCTTTCGTGCGCCTGTTTTACGGGCAGCCGTCGGTGTATTGCTGGGGACGCGGCAGGCCTTTGTCGTGACAAATGCCAGGCCGAGGGTCATGGGTGTTTTTCGTCGGGCAGCACGACGACCTTGAGCATGCGGCGGATGACCTCCAAACAGGCGACGAGTTCCTTGCATACCTAGATGACCTGTACGTCATTTCCGTGGCGGGACGCGCAAAGGCCGGCCCCGGACCTTGTCACGTTTCGGGTCCAGGAACATTGCGGCATCGCGTAGGCAAGACGCATGTGTACAATGCTGGCTGCGGGGAGCCGCCACCAAGCGTGAGCGAGCTGGGCGACGACGCATGGCACAGCGGCCGCCCAACCCACGACGCGGGTTTACCGCGCTGGGTGTCCCATACTGGGCCACCCAGACTACGCACGCGTCTCCCTGTCGTCCAATGTGCATGGCACCTCCGGTTCATGTGCGCGAGCACGCGTGCCAACTTTCGTAAAAAAGATGCAATGTCCCGCCCGAGGTCATCCGTCCGTATGCTGAGACGCGACTGGGCACTGTGCACGACCTTGTTGTGGGCTTGCGCGGGGGAATCGACGGACGGCCCCCTCACATCCACCACCTGGGCCGTCGCCACATTGCCCGCAGCGCTTAAGCGCACACAGAAGGCAAGAAGTAAAAACCCCTCCCCCAAAGGGAGGGAGGAGCTACACCAGGTAGTGCCCGAAGACAGTTACCCTCTTGCGAGCACCGACTGAGATGTTGAAACAGCTCAGGGCATCCGCATCTTCCCCCGATGGGCGCATTGAACTAGCGAGGGTATTGCCGGTCGACAAGAACCCACGTGCCATCGGTAGCCAACATTCAAGGAGGACGCACTTCGACACCAAAATTGTGAGCCCGCAGGCTCTCTTGATCGTCATTGTAATCGCACTTTTCACACGCCCCGTGGGCTGGCTCCCAATGCGCAGCGTCAACTGCATGCTTATTCAAGCAGGCGAAGGCACTGGCTCGTGTCTGCTTTCAGCTTCTGCGAGAACTAGCGAGGGCATTGCCGGTCGACAAGAACCCACCTGCCAGCGGCTTGCCCTTAAGTGGACACTGCAGCGGGTGGACTCTCTGCCGGTGCCAACCAGCAGATGGTGGGGGATCGCAATTGAGCAGGGTTCATTCCTTGCTTGCAGGACCTGGGTTGTGTGCAAAAAGAGGATTCAGGCTCACTTGGCTCATGCAGGTTCCGGGAAAACACTGCGTCTCTGGCAACTTTTGCGCGGACGTTTGCCCTCGGTTTGGGCCGGTTCCTCCTCTCCTGCTTGTGAAAAGCAGAGCACTCGCACAGTTCTTTTCGCAAGTCGTGTTCAGCTGAACTGTCCAATGTCAGCAGAAAGCTCTCTCCAAGAGCTCAGGTCTCAAGGCTTACAAATTTCATCTCAACTTTGCTAAACAAAGGAGGAAAGCAAAAGAAACATGCAAAACCTTTGGGGATTGCTTCAGGACTTCAGGTCTGTCTCAAAACCAACAGCATGCACTCACCATGCCTCAGTCAGGTTCCCAACGCACACGTAACGGTACGAACGACGTGGGCATGCACACGGAGTGAGTAACTGCAAAGGTCTGTCCCTACGAACTGCTTCAAGGCTTTGCACAGCAAGCTCAGTGCTCTCCAAACTCATCACTGGGAACTGAACCAAACGTCATGCCATGCCAAAACAAGTTCTTGCCATGCCAAAACAAAGCCATGCACAAAACACATGCTCTTGCAAAGACATGCCACTGTAAGACAGCTTCTGTACTGCCAACAACTAGGCACACCAAGGAAAGCGTAAACTTTTCTGCATACAAGCGAAAGCATTCGCGGCCGTGAGGGTGAAACTGAGGGGCCTGAGACCTGGTGTTCTGAGGTGTTCGCACCACTGGGCTTTACCAGTTGGCTCAACTGAACTTAGGTCAGGAGCTAGCCTACTCACTACAGGACTGCAGGAGGCTCTACTGGCGGGACAAACCTCTACCCTGTTTGGAGAACCCAGGCAACTGGCCTGGAGCTTGAGAGGCCCCAGAGCTCCTCACTTGTTCTCCAGTTTCGTACTGAGGCCGGAAAGCTCTCCGTCGGCTGGCTCGTACCAGTACCGAGGTAGAAGGCCCAAGCACCCAAGTAGGATGCGACTCGGCCAGTCCTCATGATTTGACAACTGCACCGCACAGGGAGAAGCCTTGCATTCATGTCAGGCCCTGGTGCACAACTTACTACCTGCTGACCTCTCTCTTACGCTGCCGTCTCTAGACCCCACCAGAGATCGTCGTACTCAGAGCTGATTCAAAACTCGAAGGGTGTTGGGCGTACGGACTCGACGCAAAACTGAAGAATCGACAGGGCTGAGAGGCCCAGGACACAACGATCTTCGGCCATTTGGCCGCGAAAATTTGGAGTGAGAAACTCCAACACAATGCAGTTCTGAGACGGGAGAGTCCGCGGGCTTACGGAAGCTCTGAGTACGACGATCTCTGGTGGGGTCTAGAGACGGCAGCATAAGAGAGAGCAGCGGTTTTTTGGCGACATAGCGGTGGACATACGGCGCTTCGTCGCGACACAGAGGCCCGGTGAACCCGGTGTACCTGCGGGTTCACCGGGTTCACCTGCGCCAGTTTGCCCTCACGTGGGTCCGGTGAACCCGGTGCACCCGCAGGTTCACCAAGTACACCTGCGCCGGTTTTGCCCTCAGGTGCGTCGTCGTCGCGTCGTCGTTGTTGCCGCGTCGTCGTCGCGTCGTCGTCGCGTCGTCGTCTTCGCGTCGTCGCCTCGTCGTCGCGTCGTCGCGTCGTCGTCGTCGCGTCGTCGCGTCGTCGCCTCCTTTTCGTCTCCGGCTCTTGGGGTAACATTTTGGAGGGCTAGGGCTGAGGCAGGAGGGTGGCTGCAGGGGCTGCAGTGGCTGCAGGGGCTGTAGGTGGGGCAGGCCGGCTGCAGGGGACTGGGCTGTTATTGGGGTAACGCCGGTTCAGGGGTAACATTGGGGTAACGGGGCTCTGGGGGTAACATTCGGGCATAACGCAGGCTCAGGGGTAACATTGGGGTAACGCGTGCTCAGGGGTAACATTGGGGTAACGCGGGCTCTGGGGGTAACATTGGGGTAACGGGAGCTCTGGGGGTAACGTTGGGGTAACGCGGGCTCAGGGGGTAACATTGGGGTAACGCCGGCTCAGAGGTAACATTGGGGTAACGGGGGCTCCGGGGCAACATTGGGGTAACGCGGGCTCAGGGGTAACATTGGGGTAACATTGGGGTAACATTGGGGTAACATTGGGGTAACATTGGGGTAACGCGGGCTCAGGGGTAACATCGGGGTAACGCGGCTCTGGGGGGAACATTGGGGGTAACATTGGGGTAACCGCGGCATCCGTAGAGATCGGAAGCTGCAGGAGCTTGGTGGGATTAGGCCCTCCAAGCTCTCGCGTTTCTGAAGTGTCAGGAGAGGGCGGTGAATCTTAGGGCTACTGAGGGCCTGGTCAGGCTAAGAAGGTGAAGGTGAAGGGCCTCTAATCTCGTCGCCGCGTCGTCGCAACGTCGCCTTCGTCGCATCGTCGTCCCGTCGTCGTCGCTGCGTCGTCGCTACGTCGCCATCGTTGCATCGTCGCCGCGTCGTCGTCGCATCGTCGTCGCCGCGTCGTCGTCGCGTCGTCGTCACGTCATTGTCGCTGCGTCGCCGCTCACTCGCAGCCGAGGTGCCCTCACTAGGTGCCCTCACTCCCCGCCCACTAGGTGCCCTCACTCCCCGCCCCAAGGTCTAGGTGCCCTCACTAGGCGCCCTCACTTCCCAAAAAGGTCCCCTCACTGGGTGCCCTCACTTCCCGAAGGCCCCGCCGTGTCGTCGTCGCGTCGTCGTCGCCTCCTCGCATCGCGCTGTCGTGTCATCCGTCTGCGCCTCTATCCTCACAGCCTCTATCCTCACCGCTATCCTCACCCGTGTCCTCATCCCCGGACCACAGTGCGTCGTCGCGCCGTCGTGTCGCCGTGCCCGCCCCTATCCTCACCGCTATCCTCACCGCCCGGTCCTCACCACTCGTCGCCGCGTCGTCGTCGCGTATAGGGAGAGCATGAGGCGCTGCAACGACTGTGAGGGCCTCGGGGGCTGCAGCGAGGCCCGCGTCGTCGTCGCGTCGTCGTCGCCTCGTCGTCGCAGGGGGGTCGCCTCGTTTCGCGGGGGCAAGAACCTCTACGCAAGTTGGTTAAAACTGCTGGAGCGACACCTGGGGGCGACACCCGCGCACTCGCGCCGCGTCGTAGTGGTCGCGTCTCCCCGGTCCCCCAATCCGCTGCGACCACGCGTGCGTGCCGTTCTGCATGCGTGTTCGTCGTCGTCGCGGGGTCGCACCTGGCGTTCTGCACGCGCGTTCGTCGAAGCAAGCGACCTGGAAAAACACAAAGTACCACGAAAGCCTCAGAGATGTCGGCGGGCTGTACCTGGCCGGGTCGGGCCAAAGACAACAATGACTTGAACAGTTGCAAGACTGCTACCGCAGCGCGCAGAGATTCGCACTTGCCTACTTTTTTGCTCAGGCGCCCGCCGTTCTTTCAAAGTGGTCTCTGCGCCTGCAAAAATGTCCGCACTAAGACTACATGTAGCCTGCATCTTGCAGGGCCTTCTCGGTTTCGCCCAGGACGTAGAAGACGAAGTACCAATGCCGCAAAGCCACCTGGGTGCTGGTGGTGCTCCGGAGGACTGCCTGCCCCGGCTGCAGGCGCCGGAGCTCCATCTGCAGCTTCGTCTCCTTCTTCAGGGCATCGCCCCTGCTCAAGTAACCTTTTGGGCCCGCCTCGGCCACCTTCCTCACGTAGTCCAGGTACTTGGACTTCGGCTCCTTCTTGGGCTTCTTCTCGCCCCGGAGTTCTCGGAAGAACTTCTCCAGCCATCCCTCCTCTTCCTCTTCCTCCTCCTCCTCCGTCTCAGCCAGAACGTCCTTGATGGGCCCGATCTTCGTCTCGTACCACTGGTCGATCTGGGCCTTGATGCCCTGCGCATCCGAGGCGTCGGCCTTGGCCGCGTCCTCAAGGAGCCGCTGCAGCTCGCGGAAGCTGCCGCCAGCCCGAAGGTAGAAGTACTTGAGGATCTCCTGCCGGCTGAGCTCGTCCATCTTGAGATACGAGGCAATCTCCGGCTTTTCCAGGGCCAGCTCCACGAAGCCTCGGAACGGGCTTATTGCACGACTTGGCAGCGAGGTCCTGCACTCAGACGGCAACTCCAAGCGACAAGACCAAAAACATAAAGAGCACACAACAAAGCCAGGGGGCGCTTCCAAGGCAGTGGGTCCACCACCACCAGCCGGGACATGTTGAACTTATCCTTTAGGGTGTCTACTACGCGGCGCTCCCGACGACCATCTAGCCGCTGTTACAGCACCTGGGCAACACCCTGGACGCCCGATTTTGACCCGGCAGCTCCTGGATCTTGTCGGCGATCAAGGACACGGACACTTCCAGCACGAATTTGCACAAAGCGTACTCGTAGGTGAGCTCCCGCGCGAAGCCACCGACGGCAGCGGCGATGGCGTCGCACTGGTTCTGGTCGATGTCGTCGGCACGGTTCTGCGTTGACAAGTGCATGTAGATTGTCAGTGGGTGCCCAGTCTTCTTCAGGCACTTGTGCTTCAGCTGTTTCATCAACTGCACAAATGGTAAGCGCAGCTGAGGGAAGATCTCCGGCACCGTGTCGGCCAGCAGCACCTCTTCAACGATAGCCGCAAGCTCAAGCCTGTCGCCCGGCTGCAAAGTCCGAAGTATGGGCAGCACCCATCTTCCGCGTTGGCGCTCCTGCGCAAGCAAGCCTTTCAGCATCGTAGACTTTCCGACGCCCTGTGGCCCGCTGATCACTATGAACGCAGGGACTTGCATGGCACGGGGGCCGGGCATGTCAAGGAAGGCCGTGACGTCTTGCTGCTGGGCCCGGGAATACGCATTCCCAACACTTCCTCGGTCATGGCTTGTCCGGCATCTTCTACAGCCTGTGTGAGCGTCCTAAGTGGAAGTAACTTGGTTGGTATTCTTCTCAGAACAAACTCACGAAGCCATAGTACTCCCATGCCCGACGTCACCAGCTTCATCATGTTGTCCCAAATCCCCCACCTCCCGCGTGGCTCTGCTTGCATTATCGCTCGCGATCGACCCGCTTGGCCTCTCGCAGGCAGGCCACATGGCGGCGCGGCGGGCCAGCTGGGGCCCGGGCAAGCTACAAACATCTTCGCCTAAGGGCAATGAGCCCCCGAAGCCCCCGACTCCTTCAGGCCCTTTACCCTAAACCCTAAACCCTGAACCCTAAACCCTAAACCCTAAACCCTAAACCCTAAACATCCCTAAACCCTAAACCCCCAAGGCCCTTTAAGCCCTAAAACCCTCAAAAGCCAAAGGAAGCTGCGGAACAAACAAACAGCGCTGCACACTCTCCCGTGCTGGCATGCTTCGCGCAAGGCAACTCAGCACTGGACCAGGCCTGGGATCGCTGTCGGCATCGGCACTCAAGCCACAAAGATGCCATCTGAGCCTTGGCACAGACTTCAGCAAAGCGCGGCCCCCGCCCCATCACCGTCTCAAGTTCAGCAGCTCTCAGCGCGAACCCTTCGTCGTCTGACGATCCTGCGACCCTCACTCCAGCGTGAAAAAGAGCAAAGGCCAGGCTCATGGCCGATGTCCTGGCAAGGCCGCGGCTCGCAGGAGAATCGTCGAGCAAGTGTACCGAGATCCTCGGACCGGTTTTGGCAGCACTGCAAACGCTCTTAAGGCTGCAAAAGCACGCAATCCCTTCGTGTCGAGAGATGAGGTCAGTTCCTTGAAACTCTAAGGGATCGACTCGGCCTCAAAGAGGATACAATTCGTTTATCTCGTCAATGGACCGGCATCGAGATGAGAACGTATCAATCATCGAAGGAATATAAAGTCGGAACAAAACTCAAAAGAATTCATGCACATTCAGTGGAGCATTCAAGATTCAGACACACTTCTTTTTGTCCAGGTGGGGTCAAACACGACTGTGGCTTTGCATCCTTGTGGCTGAGCTGGTCTCAGCATCTTACTGAAACAAGCCGAAGTCTGAGCAATCCCCCGGCTGCTACTGCCTGACACGGGACACAGGTGAGTCAAAACCGCTCACGTCAAGAGGCTTCTGGTTGATGCTGAGAGCTTGACGCAGCACTGGCGCTCGGTCGTTCAGGTTCGTATTCAGGGTCTACAAACTGCCACTGATGCAAGCATAGCGCTGGCTCCTCTCCTCGACGGTACTCTCGCTCTCCAAGAACCTCTTCCAAAACCTCAGTCACCTTCAACAGGAATTTATGTTCGGGGTGCGTAGCCACTGACGAAAATCGTCGAGTGAGCTTGTATCAATGTTAGCTCCATTCAAGTTCTTAAGAAGTCAAAAACAGACAAGAAGCGCAACACGCTTGAGCAGAAGAAGCGCATTAGGTAACCTTGCATGGTAATGCAGTGCACTCGCAGCACGGCCAGTAACGGGCCCGCTCCTGTCGGGCAGGCACTTGCAGATGACCACTATACGCAAATGGGGGAAGGGAGAGGCGGGAAGTAAAGTGTCCCTCTGTTTTGCACAAGCTGAAGGTTGCCTGGAACGGGCAACATCAGACAGTATGGCTGAACAGAGCAAGGCTGTTATCAGTCCAAATCTTAAGGAAAAAGGGGCGGGAGAGGCGGGTGAAAATTCTTTCTTCAGAGCTTCTGCTCAAGCCGAAGTGTTGCTTGAGGCCGAGGATCATGAGAATTGACATGAAAAGACAGGCACACCCCTAAAGAAAGTAAATCACATGCACTGTGCGACATGCGACATGCTGCAAAGAGTTGGAACTCAAGAGATGCCTATCCAGGGACGGCAAACTCGATGACGAAGCACTCGCTGCTATCAAAGCCTGTTGTGGTATTCTTAAAAGAGCCCCAGCGCGACAAGTCTCTGCAGCGAAGAAAGAGTGCTTCTACCTCTACACTGATGCCTCGTTAGAGGACGGAGAAAACGGCCCCTGTGCAGGATTGGGAGGAGTGCTTGTCGATCCCACAGGCTTGCCTTTACAGTTCTTCTCGTGGTTCCCCGAGCAAGAAGACATGTTGGTGTTGGGCATTGACCTTGGGACGAAGTGCATTTTTCTTCTTGAGCTCCTTGCGGTATGCATCGGGTTCTGGTTATGGGGCGACGTCTTCGGTGGGTCTTCTCTTGTTTTTACCGACAATGAAGCGGCCAAAGCCTGTCTTGTCAAGGGAAGCTCTGCGCATCCGATTGCCAACAAGCTTCTCTTTTGTCAAGCAGTGCTCGAAGTTGAGAGAATGTGCCTTCCTTGGTTTTCTAGAGTCCCCTCTCTTTTCCAACATCGCCGACGGACTTCCAGAAAAAATGGCAGAGAACCTCTGCTCGAGGGAATACCCAAGATCGACTTCAACTTCGCCGAATTCCTCGTTTGCTTTAAAAAGAGGGGGATTGCTCAGACTTCGGCTTGTTTCAGTAAGATGCTGAGACCAGCTCAGCCACAAGGATGCAAAGCCACAGTCGTGTTTGACCCCACCTGGACAAAAAGAAGTGTGTCTGAATCTTGAATGCTCCACTGAATGTGCATGAATTCTTTTGAGTTTTGTTCCGACTTTATATTCCTTCGATGATTGATACATTCTCATCTCGATGCCGGTCCATTGACGAGATAAGCGTGCCAGCGAGGGACGAGCAAGCGTTTTATCTCGAAAATGGAAAATGACCATCTCCTGTCATTTAAAGTTCTAGCATGAAAGACTCGGAGGCAAGACCTGGCAAGTCTTCCGAAAACCTGGCAACCTGCGAAAGACATCCTCCCTGCGAGATGTTTAGCACGGCTTTGAGAGAGCTGTCGATCTTGGGTGACTTGGAGAAGGTCTTTGATGAGCTCCGAAACCCGAGCTTCAGTGTTCAGAATCTCAACCATACCTTTGCTCAGGGGCGAAAGGTTAACAATGACTCCCAGGGCACTGAGCCTCGCACTGAAGGAGGTGTGCTTGTCGCCTTCTTTGTCGAAAGCCCACCCGAGCAGGGTGAAGAACGTTTCCCTCTCAGGGTGGCTTCTTGAACGAACTCGTGGGGTTTCGGATTTCGGGGGAGTCAAGACATCACGCCATCCTTACGCGAGAAAGTACAACATGCACCCAGCGGCTTTGACATGCTGCATGAATAAAACTCCCTGTGGAGTTGCTATCCATCTCGGAATCGTCACTGGAGAAAGAAGAAGAGGACGAGGAAGACTTAGAGAAAGACGCAGCGTCAGACGACGCAGCAGGGCTTCTTCAGAAGCTGCCGTAGGGAAATCACCGTTGGTGAACACCGACTTCTTTGTGGACACGTCGTCTTTAAGCTTCGGTTTGCTCAGCGGACGACATTGAATTTCGGAGCTGCCCAGAAAACTTACTTGTCTGTCTCTGTCTGTGTCTGTCTTGTCTGATCAATCTGTCTCTCTCTCTCTCTCTCTCTCTCTCTCTCTCTCTCTCTCTGTGTCTCTCTCTGTCTGTGTGTCTCTGTGTCTCTGTGTCTCCGTGTGTTATGTCTTGTTATGTCTCTGTCTCTCTGTATCTCTCTGTGTCTCTCTATGTCTCTGTGTGTCTGTGTGTCCCTGACAGTGAGTGGCTGCTGACGTCTCACAAAGACCATGCCTCTTTTCGGGTGAGGAGTTTGGCGTTCGTGCAGCAGGGTGTGGCCGAGTTAGAATCTGGCGCCCCTGGCTTACTTCCTTGGAGGTCGGGGCTCGCTAGTTGCTAAGCCCACCTCCCTTAATGGGGGTGAGGTCTAATTTGCATGTAATTCAGGTTCTACAGAGTATGGTCACTGACCGCGTTAAGTCGCCGGAAGCTGAAATTCAACCCTGCGGCTACGAAAACCTTCCTGGAGTTCAGACAAGCCGCTGGCCTGAAGGATCGTCAGGGAACTTCTCACCCCTGTCGCCAATCCCTGGCCCAAGGTGAATGCGTCTCTGCAGCCCCTGTGTTTAGGATTTTCCCGATTTACAGCATGCCCAGATATTATGTTTTGCAGTTGTTTTACCTGTTGCTCCCATGTAGCATGTGACTTGAGTGATTCGAATCTGCAGGCGTCTTTACGGATTCAAAAGTTTTTCATGGTAGCGGAGCCCGGGAAAGCCCGAGCTTCGAGACACGTCGTTGGGGTCTCTAGCATCTTTTGGGTGCGTTCGGGGGCCCAGGCTTTCTGATCTTTGTTTTCTTCTTCGGGGTCCTTTGTAGGAAGTGAGCCGTAGCTTGCGCCATATTGACCTGCCGGCTGGACAGCCGGTTGGCGTCCAAGTGACTTTAGTGAACACGGCAACTGTTGCCAGTTGCGATTCGCTTAAAGAGCTCTTGGACAGCCTGTATCTTGAACAACTGTTGAATCGGCCCAGGCCAGCCAACAGAACTGAATACGGGTGGCAAGCTGTCTTGGTAGGGATCCACACTGCTTTCCAGAAGAAGCTGGAAACTCTTCATACGGTTGAGCAAGTTTGGTGCTTCGGAAACACTTGCTTGAAAGATCAAGGCTTGAAGGAGAACTTTATAGATCTTGGTATAGACCGAGTGTGTGAGGAGGCGATTCCGTTTGCAAAGCAACTTCGCTTCGTCCAGGCAGAGCAAGAGGGTCCAAATTTCGAAAGAGAACTTGGACTGATCGAACAGTTGTTGGCAGAGGACAGCCGGCCGACGTTTAAGAGAGCGTTGCAGTCTTCGCCATCTGTTATCGATCTGTGTGAAACGCAACCTGCCAAGTTCCAAAGATCCTTAGTGCCCCAGACCGAAGCTGTGGATCTTGAGAGTGAGTTGAGAGATTCCCGAAGTGCTTGATTGCTGCTGTGATGGCATCGCAAGATGACATAAGCGATCTTGAGGTTGACCCTGGCCAAGGCGTGCACTTGCCCCAAGGTGCACAGGCGAGCCAGGCTTCAGCGTCAGCAGCACAGAATCCGTTCAGCCCTGGCAGTCCGCAAGCGCAGGGTATGCATGTGACGCCAGATGATATGATGACCATGATGAGACAGATGATGGAGGCGACGACTGCAGCAGCAACCGCTGCACAGGCTGCCCTGAGTGCAGCAACGTCGCAAGGCAATGCAAAGCAGGGAATTGCAGGCAGTGACATGGCCCGCATTCTCCCGAAACCCGATGTGTTTAAGCCTGCCACGAGAGAGGAAGAGCATGGCATGTGGCTGCAGTGGTTTTGGAGCCTCAAGCAGTACTTATGTGCCCTTGATTCTGCTTTTGGAGATGAAATTGCATATCTTGAGCAGCACCCTGATGAAGAGGGTCAAGGGTATAAAAGTCCTGAGGCAGCCCAACGATCCAAGCAGCTGTTTGCACTCTTGTGCAGCCTTGTGAAGGGCAGGGGCCTGCAGCTGATCCAGCGAGTGCCTGCCCAGTCAGGCTTCGAGGCCCTGAGGCAGCTCATCCAGCTGTTTCAGCCGACGTCGAGAACGCGATCGCTTGGCATCTTGAGTGCAATCACCAGCATGAACCACTTCAAGGGCAATGAGCCATTGTTGCCTCAAGTCTTAGATATGGAACGTATCTTTGAGGAGTATGAACGCAGTAGCGGCAAGAAATTGGACGATGATTTCAAGACCAGTATTTTTCTTCGTTCAATCACCCAGAGCATGCGCAACCATCTCGCGACAATTCTTACTGAAGATGTCACGTATGATGCCTTGAGGGAAGCCGCCTTGCGTTTTGAAAGAATGAATGCCAAGTGGGATGCTCGCAATCTGTTTGCAGGAGACAGCCTCTTTGCCAACAGGAGGCAACCTGCAGGGCCTAACGATGGGCCCGTGCCGATGGAGGTCGATGCATTGCAGCGCAAGGGTAATCCTAAGGGGTATAAGGGTAAGCCAAAGGGTCCTAAGGGTGGTGGTTCACCTAAGGGTACTAAAGGTCCCAAGGGAGGAAACCCTAAAGGCCCCAAGTCCGGCAAGCCTAAAGGCAAGGGCAGAGGCGACAAAGGCCAGAAAGGAAACCCCAAAGGTCCTGATGCAGGCAAAGGTGCCCGACAGAATGTCATCTGTCATGCATGCGGCAAGCGAGGGCATTACAAGAGTGAGTGCTGGCAGAACGTGCAACATGTGCAGGGAGATGATGCGAGCACCACTGCCCCCAGCACGGCTGGACCGTCAGCGTCGCAAGTCAGGCCATCTCCTGACACCAGCACAACAATGCGTTCTGTGAACATGGTTCAGATCGACATGACGGGTGACTGGTGCGGTGGAAGCATCAATGCACTCACCGCGGACTCTTGTCCCGCTGCCGGGGATGATTTCCTCAAGGTTGTTAAGTCGCTAGCCCTGATCCCGCACGGGTACCCTAGCCTCCCCAACCTTGTGCCAGTGCAGGAGAGCAACGATCTCGTTGCGATTGCCGAGCCAGAATGCACAGTGTTTGCTCAGGCGATTGCCGAGCCAGAATACACAGTGTTAGCCCAGCAGTGCGGTGTTGAGGTCTATGATATGTCAGCAACAGACGGTGATGAAGATTGGACCGTTTGTGATGGTGTGCTTCCTGCCACAGCCACTACGGATGCTTGCCTGTGCACTCCTCACTATCCTTCCAGCAACCCTGCTACGTTCTTTGTTCAGACAGTCCAGAGCACAGCAGGCCAGCAGGGTGGATGCAGGGATATGGAGATAGTGGTTGATTCGGGTTCGGATGCATCCTGTCTGCCACTGTCCTGGGGAGATGTGGGCGTTGAGTGTGCCAACACCCAGGAAAACTTCCGAGATGCGCAAGGCCACAAAATCACAGGTTCCAAAACCCGCATGGCAGTGTTGCAAATTGGACACGTGCAGTTCAAGGAGAGATGGCTGCTGAGCAGTGTCAGCCGACCACTGTTTTCGGTTGGCAAGTTGATGAAGCAAGGTTGGAACATCATTCATGATGAGCACGGCGTGCCTCACTTGATGAATCCCGATGCGTCCTTGCGTGTCCCCATGCACTACTGCCACAACAGTCTGCACGCGACTGGAATGATTTCCAGCGTGACGGCGTGTGATGATCGTGGGCCTTCTGTCTTGGCCCTCGAAATTTCTGGTCCGTGGCTTGCGTTGAATGATCGGTTTCAGGAAGTGACATCAGGCGTGTATGCCAGGCGTGACATGTCCGACTGCCTTCTTGATTGCACTGTCCCTTTGACGCACTTAGGAGTCCAGTTCCGGACTACGCTAAGGCAAGAGGCGAGTGGCTGGGCTGTTTTCGAACTGAACACGCCGCTGAGCTCACTTGACCTGTCAGAAGCTTCCTTTGTGCCGAGCCGCATCCACAATATCATCACCATCGGATCATGCAGCAAAATCAACATCGATGAACTGTTTGGGAGAGTGCCGCCAGCCCGGCGAGACCATGTATCGGAAGATGCAGAGTCCGATGCAGGGTTACCAGACGTTCCGATAGGTGGAGTTGGCAACATAGCGGGACCCGATGACGAAATCCAGGAAGGAGATGAGCTTCCGGGGCAAGAGGCGGAGGAAGTGATGCAGCCGGCCATGCGTGCACATGTGGTTGTGGAAGGGGTTGAGCTTCATGAGGGATGCACCTTGTCCACATTGCGAGCTGCTTGCACGGCATTGGGCATCGGCAAGAGTGGAGGCAAGGCAACCGTCTTGCAGCGCATCCACAACTTCATGGACCGCCAGAGATTGCTCGCACGACATCAGATCGAGGATGCAAGAGTCCAATTGCCCCGAGAGCAAGCACCCGTTTCTGAGCCTACTCCTGAGGAAATGCGTCGCCACGCATTGTCGCATATCCCTTTCATGCCTTGGTGCGAGCACTGCGTCAAGTTCCAAGCCCGTGCTGACCGCCATGTCCAAGCAGGACCAGATGTTAGGGCGTGTAGCACATGTTCGTTTGACTTTGCCTTCACTGAACGTGAAACCGGTCGCCCCGGTGACAAGTTGATCTGCTTAATCCTCAAGGATTCACACACAGGTGCCACCTGCGCGATCCCTACACCAGCAAAGGGAGGAACCGTGGCGTTCAAGTTCATGGTTGCACAGAAGTGTGTAAATTCTTGAATTTTTGTGGACATACGGAAATCGCCTTGAGATCAGACGGCGAACCGGCTTGTCTTGCTTTGCAGCAAGGGGTAAAAGAGTTGAGGTCGCGGATGAAACTTGATACGCATCTTGAACAACTGGAGGCCGCTGACCACCAAGCAAACCCCAGCGAGCAAACCGTGGATCAGCTCAGGCAGCTCACGGGAACGCTGCTAAGCCAAGTTGAAGCCGAGACTGGCCAAAAGGTCAGCACGATGTCTCCACTCCATGCGTGGGCGTGGAAGCACGCGTGTTGGCTGCAGATGCGCTACGGGCGCAGTGGATTTGCCAGTCCGTTTGAAGTGATAACAGGGCGCCCGTACAATGGCAAAGTTGTGGGGTTTGGAGAGGTTGTTTTCGCAAGGATTAAGAGTTCTATCAAGGGCAAAGCCAGATGGATAAAGATGTTGTGGTTGGGAAAGTTGGGGGTATCAGATTTGCATTTTGGAGTCACACCTGGAGGTTTCTTGATTTCCAGCAGGAGCGTCAGACGGCTGCCAAAGCAGTACGATGCATCTTTGCTTGAGTCACTGCGCGACATGCCATGGAGTCAAGCAAGCTTCCTTGCAGGGCAAGTCGGCCAGGCCAGAATGCAGAGAACCCCTGTTCGAGGAGAAGAAGAAGAGGTGCAACAGCCTCTGCCTGAGGTTGTGTTGCCTGAAAGACCACCACTTCCATATCCCGGTTATGTCCTGCCTGACAATGCACCGCTTGAAGAACTCATTCCTCCACCAGCCATTATTGCATCAGGCACACCGGAACCTCCTACGCCTGTTCAAACATCGGCCGAGACACCGCTTCCCACGGCTGCCGAGCCTAGCACGCCCATGCTTGTTGATTCCGATGCACCACCACCACAGCAGGAGGCCAGTGGAGCTCGCGCTTCTAGTGGTTTAGGGGGTGTTAGTGGTTCTAGTGAAGCGTTGGGTGCGGTCCGGCACCAGAGGCGAGGCCATCAGGGGCAGGCGGGGATGAGCAGCCAGCACCCAAAAGGGCACGAATCCGGTTGCGCTTAGATGCAGTTCAAGTGGACAAAGACGGCAACGAACTACACAATGTCGATGAACAGATTGAACTCTTCGATGAGGCTGCTGAAGGTTTCATGGACTGTGAGGAGTCCGAGGCTTGGGACAACTACGACGATGACGCTGGTGCGTCACCGAGTGCAGAGATTCCCAGTTGCTTGATCAGACCCTTTTCCCAAACGGAGCCACAATGCAGTCCGGAGGAGTTGCAATACATCGACGAAATCGCTGACAACTTTGAGCTGAGCAGACTGACGAACATGCACGTGCTGAGTGAAGTTCAGAGCAAGCTTGAAGATCACAGAGTTTTGTCGTCGAAGAGTGTGAGATCATGGCGGCCGAAAGTGCTAAACCAGGAGAAAGTTTGGGTTCGCAGAAGCAGATTGGTTGCCAGAGAGTTTGCATGGTTGGACAAAGGCAGAAGTGGATTGTTTGCACCGACCACTGCGCAAATCATGTTGCGTGTGGTGCCAGGTCTTTTCATGCGAATGCGCGATCAAAACTGGAGCATGCTATCGCTAGATATTGCAGATGCCTTTCTGCAATGTGCTCAGGCAGACCCCACGTGCACGAAGGTGGGAAACAGATGGTTCAAGCTCGACCGCATGCTACCCGGTCAACGTGACGGGAGCGTCACGTGGTTTGCAGATTTCACAGAGGAGATCAAGCGTGCAGTTGGAGCTGAGTTGCTACCCGAGCAACCAGCACTGTTCAGACTGCCAGAGTCTGAAGGTGGCGGCATGGTGCATGTAGATGACATGATGTGCGCAGGACGCTCAGATAAGCTTGAAAAGCTGGAGAATCACCTCAAAAGCAAGTTTAAAGTGTCATCGGAGTGGATCCGAAACGTCGGGGACTGCGTCAGTTTTCTGAAGAGAACACACCGCCTGGTGAGTGAAGACCTCTTGGTCATCGAGCCAAACGTGAAGTATGTGGAGAAGCTGATGCAGGTCACCGGCCTTGCCGCTGCAAAGGAAAGGTACAAGGCGACTCCTTTTCCTACAGGTCCAATGCCTACAGACCGCGTGCCTGATCCTGAGCTTGATGCCACCAGTGCATCAAAGTATCGCACCGCGGTGGGCATCCTGATGTACGTTGCTTCAGACCTTCCCGCTTGCCAGTTTGGGATTCGTTTCCTGTCAACCTATGCCCACTGCCCAACAGAGGGATCCTGGAAGCTACTGAGGCACCTGACCGCGTACATCAACAGCCACGAGAGTCATGTCGTGGGACTTGCCAAGCCGATTGTTGGAAAGGGTATCATTCGGGATTGTTCAGACAATTTGCATACCCCGTTGTCGATCCTTGAATGCTTCTCTGACGCCGACTGGTCTGGCAACCGCCAGACCAGAAAGTCAGTGAGCGCCGCTGTGGTGTTGTGGGATTCCATGACCATATATAGCCACTCGAAGACTCAAAAGAACATCAGTCTTTCCTCGGAATCAGAATATCACTCGATGATATCCGCCATAGCTGACAGCATCCTCTTGAAAGCGTGCATCACCTTCGTTGCACCGCATCCACCTCTTGAGATCACTGCCTTCTGCGATAACAGTGCGGCCAGGACGCTTGCCTGCCGTCAGGGCGTCGGTCGCATGCGGCATGTCAGTGGAAAGCTGCTTTGGCTTCAGCAGAAGACCAAGGAAGGAGAAGTGGTTGTTCGACCCGTGCCTACGGCGGACAACGTTTCAGACCTCGGTACTAAAGCGCTAAAGGCAGACCGTATCTTGTACCTGTTGTCGAAACTCAACATGCGTGATTCCGAATGTGGGTATCAACTTGTTGGAGCAGAATACTTGTTGGATGCCCAGAGCAGACGCCAGTTGTGCCGAGTTATCAAGCAAGGGAGTGTCAATCCTCAAAGAATACTACAGGTTCTTGCATTGGCGTTGCAAGTCGACGCCATAGCAAGCGAGCAAGATGAGCCCAATGATGATCAAGACGCCTTGAGCCATGTGAGCACGAGCCTCTTGACTTGGATAGGCGAGAGCGTGACTGTGGTATTCCTTGTTTGTGCCGACCTCATCGAGAATCACCCCACGTGTGCGATGTTGTTCGGACAGTTGATGATGCTGGTTTTCTTGATCTGTGCAATGTGCTTTTGCCGGAGCCACCGAAGGTCTGAGCCCACAACCAGTGGGAATGCAACAATGCCAAAGGTTGAAGTCAACGTAGTGGTTGATAGGCCTTTGGGTGTAGGGGATAGGGATAAGCCTGAACCCGCCGAAATCCCTAACCCTGACCTCCCACAGCGAGAGAACGAAGGAGATGATGATCAGCCAGATCCGACAGCTGCATCGTCGTCCGCGCCACCAAATGCAGCACCGGTGAGTGCAAGCACGTCTTGGAATGAGGTTGAGGCGAATCTTAATGCTTGGTTGCGTGAGAATGCCCTGCCAATGCTCGAACAGTGCAACGCACCGCCTCGAACACCGGAACATCCGTCGGTGCGAGATCCAGCAGAGAATCATGTTGTGTTCGTGACTGCGAGTCGTGGATATGCATTCCACCGGACACGTGAATGCCCAAAGCTCAGATGTGCAAAGCGAATTCTGAGGTACAGCAAGCGTGAGGCCATCAGGCGAGGTTTCAAGCCCTGCAAGGAGTGTGGAGCATGATACAGTGCAACTTCTTTCCACTTGGAAATGTTCATGATGCTGCGCAGTGGTCGCATGTATATAGCTTTATGTACATAGCTTGTGATGCTCATGAAACTTCACTTGCTACTCCTCGTGGAACCTGGGGTTCAGCAATGCACACACATTCTTGCCCAATCCTGTTCATTTCCGACTTCGAATGAGATACTCCGAATGCCTTGATGTTTGGGAGTTGGTCACCCAAAATCTCGTGCGATGGCAGATAGGCCATCACAATCTCCACAGTGCAATGCCACGTGTGTCCACCTTGCTTGCCATTCCGACAGTGTGCAGCATGGTGAAGGTCTCCGCTTGGGCCAGTCAAGCATGCAGCACAGTAGGTGCTAGATACAACGTAGTTGTAGCCTAAACCGAGCCAACGACCCATGGGCAGAGCTCGAAGATGCAAAGACATTCTGCAGTTGTTTCACGGGAGCATTTGAAACTAAGTGTCTTGTTGTTTCTCATACCTGGGCATCGGGAATCCTTTGAACCAAAACTCTTCGCCTAGCTTCACACTTTTGGAGGCGGGGTGTTTAGGATTTTCCCGATTTACAGCATGCCCAGATATTATGTTTTGCAGTTGTTTTACCTGTTGCTCCCATGTAGCATGTGACTTGAGTGATTCGAATCTGCAGGCGTCTTTACGGATTCAAAAGTTTTTCACCCTGGGATGTGGTTTCCACTCCCTACGCCAGCAGGCTTGGTCCCAGCCTGCAAACAAACCTTCCCTGGTGTGCTGCTCGGGATGTGGCTCCCACTCCCAATTGCACAACTCGGGATTTGGTTTACCAATCCCAGTGAGAGGGTGTACAGGGGTCTGTACCCACCTAGGACTTTTTTCTCACCTCGTCCTGCGCTTTCTAGCGGATGGTGTGTATTTAGCCCTGAATGTGGTCTTCCACCCCTGTAGCCGGCACTCAATAGAAGTGTCGCTGCCAGCCAAGCCGCTGAGGTTTTCACCCTTATAACAACGGCCTACGGGCTGCGCATGCTTCGCGCTTTCGAGCGGAAATTCAAACCCAATCTCAGAGTCTGTGCCACCAGATCTACGGTCTGGAATTGCCTGACATGACTGGTGCAATTCGATGGTGATTTGAATCTCAGAGTAGGTGTGGTGTGCATGCGCGTATTTTTTGGGGTGTGATGAAAGTCGTTCGTTTGTCGTTGAACGTTGT